TGTGTGTGTGTGTGTGTGTGTGTGTGTGTGAAGATATATAAGGGATCTTCAGTTTTCTTCATCCTGTGCTCTTCTGAAACAAGGGCCTGCTGTATGCTTCATTATGTTCCACAGGACACACAATGTAAAAATGAATCCAGAATTAAAGTAATTAAGAAGCCTTCTAGAACCAAATGTAGGGACATAATACCTATAATCCCAGCACATGGGAAGCAGAGGAAGGAAAATCATGAAGCCTCAGCCACAGAGTAATTTGTAAGCCAGGCTGGGCTATCTGAGACCCTGTCTCAAAAAAAAAAAAAAAAAAAGGCAAGGAAGAAAAATCTGTTGTTTTTAATAGAGTCAGTGGTGGTGACTTTTAATCTGTAAATTGTAGGTTTCACGAAAGATTAGGGATGACAATGTCCTAAGAGAGGACATAGTATACCACCTTACTTGGTTATAAAACTCTTCTGTGGTTAGATAACTGGATTCAAGCACAGTTGAGGAAGCCTTGCCAAGAATTTCCTGAGTACCTACCCAGCTCTCTAAGGGCTGCCTTACCTGTGTCATTTCTCACTCTTCCCTGCATTGTATTCTGTGACCATGGGCTCATGTTTGGTCATCACCTGGTCAGTTTATAGCATTGGCGAGCATTAAAGCACACATTGCTATGTTGAAAGCACGCCTTGGCCTAGTGCCGTCTTCATTACCCCACCCATTCTACATTCTCTGGTGGAACCTTTACGCTCATCTTCATGCCCTGGGCACAGAGAAAGTGTATGTGCTATTCTATTCATCTAATTCCTTGAGTTTTATATTATTGTTACTTCTTTACCACTGTTCACTTTTTAGCCCTAAATTTCTGGTATTTCAAGCCCAGATCACCCAGATATCCTGTCTGTTACCACACAGACGTCCTTACCCCAGGGCCCACAGAGCCGAATGAACAAGGGCTGCTTTCTAACCCTCACCTGAGCACGGTCATCACTACTAAGGACTTGTTATTCCAAATGGCTGAGTTGCTGTGGTTTAGGTAAGATCTACCAGGAAACCATTAGCATGGAAAGCACAGGAGGGAGGCCTGGCCTATGCACACCTTGTCCTGACCTGTGTCGCATGCCGTCTTTTTACCACCTGCCTCCCCCATCTATGCCTGAACTTCCCTTCAGGAAAGGTTTGTTTCCTCAAGTGTTTCTTGGCATCAGGTATATGGCCGTGCTTAGAAGAGAACGTGCCATGCTGGTAATTACTTAGAAGAGAGTAGAACATCTCTTCTGGAGGAGTGAGTGACTCTATCAGCAGAGGCTGGTAATTGTGTGGATCTTGGGTGCTGAAGAGACTTCCACTAGAAGAGATGAGCTCTGGACCAACAGAAGCTCCTCTTGATGGGATTAGGAGTCTAACTAAATGGATTCATTGTGGAAGCACAGTCTGGAGAGCTGTGAAATTAAGTATGCGATAAGGAGATGCTTATGATGCCTGCTCTTTCAACACATGCAGGCGATGTTCTATGATGTCCTGTTGCTCCTCTGTTTAACTCTGTTGCTTGATGTTGGGCTTCAGACCAGGACAATCAGCTAGGGTGCATTTTGAAACAAGGTGGACCTGACTTCCATGTTCTCCCAGCATCCCTAGGTCTCTACCTGCTGCAGACTGTGGCTGGCCTACTCTGAACTCTACCCTGAACTCTCCAGCCCAGGGTGGGGCTTCCCCTCTGCCAGAAGCTCTTCATGATATATAATCCAGATATAATGGTTCCCTCCTTTCTCCCAACTCTTCTTTCTACATTCCTCCTCCTCTTTCTCCCGTCTCTTTCTCTCATTCTCTCCTCCCTTTCTCTCTCTCTCTCTGCTTTTCCTTTTTTCTCTCTCTGCATGTGTACTTTCCTGTCCCCTCTCCTCCCTCCCCCCTGCTCTGTGGTGACTTCTCTGGCCCCTTTCTTTGGGACCAGTGAACCTGCTGAGAGCTATTCTCAGCAAACCTGCATTTATATACTTTAACTTCTGTTAAATTAGCTCACTTCACTGGCAGAAAGAATGATAACATATCCCCTGGTGATCTTACCATATCTAGCAATATCTGGGCAAGTCTGTTGATGTTTGCTTCAATTGTTAGTGATTGTCAGCATGTTTGCTATTTCAGTCTACTCTTGAGGAATAGGGTGCAAAGCGTTATTGATCTGCATGGAAAGACATCTTGATTTTTAGTTGGTGGCTTAATAAGCATCTTTATTTTTATATTGCTCATCAGTGGACAAAATTTATATTGTATCTCAAAGGGAGTTGACGTTGCAAATAAAGAAGGGGGAAGGAACAGGGAGGAGTGAGGAAGGTGGGATCTTAACAGTTGGAAGAAAATGTTGTTATTTAACTCAGGTGTTGACCTCTTCATGTCCTCTCTATGTGCTCATCTATATTTTGGAGTAAAAAGAGTTATCATAAGAGGCCTAAGTTATTAAGAAATTTTCACATTAAAATGTATTAAACCACAGCAAATGGGGCTGGACAGATGACTCAATGGTTGAGAACACTTGCTCTTACAGAGGACCTGTTTTGATTTTCAGCACCCATGTGCAAGCTCCAGCTCTCCGTGACTCTGGTTTCAAGGAATCTGATGCTTCCTTGGGACTCATGCTTGTGCATTTATATATATATATATATATATATATATATATATATATATATATATAT